TCTCCATGGGCTTGGGGTGGAGGTTCTCCACTTGCACATTGTAGAGATGATCTTGGCGCCTCTTCGGGAAGAACTTGGAATTCTTCCCAAAAGGGCATCACAGAAAGGTCCTCGGGGGCTTCCTTTGAAGCCAGAAGGTTTCAAATTGTACCGTGGTGGGGAGGGACTGGAGTGGGAGCAGCTGTAACCTGGCACCATCACCAAGGGCTGGGGCCAGTTACACCAGTATAAAACCACAGGAGGTGGGGGCAGGACCTTCAGGGAAGGGAGGCTGGTTTGGTCACCGTCAGAGCTGAGGACGTGTCCTCTGAGGCTGAGGAGCCTGAACAATTAGAAGTGATGAAAATAATCTAAAAATAGGTATTTGTAAATGTCAGGTGGGCGAGAGCTCGGGAAACGTGCTGGGAGGATGAAGCATCTCTTGATGTGCTGCTGCATCCTTATGAGGGACCAACACTCATCTGCTCTGGGTCCATCCTGCTCACCCTGGTTCTCTGAGAGACCCCCCCAAGCCCCCAGAATCTGGCTGTCATGGATCATCCCAGAAATCCATGGCTGGAGACACTCTCTGTGTGGTGTTATCCCTCTGGGAGCTGCAGGAGATCCCAGCTCTGCTTTGGTGGGGTGGGGAGAGATGGGCTTCAGGCCGGACACCAGTCCCTCAAATTATTTCTCTGAGGCTTTTGAGAGGGGAAAACTTCAAGAAGACACCCCCACCCCCCCTTCCTTGCCCTCAGTAACCACCACGGGATGATCCCAGCCCCACGAGTTGGGGGCTGCTCTGCCAAAGCCACCTCAAAGATGCCATGGTCCCCCCACCCTCCAAGCACACGATGGCAACCTGGTGGCACAGGGACGTTCTCCCCTCCATCGCTCCCACCACCCCCTGACCCCAGACCCCCACTTGTCCCCAAAAACTTGCTTAAAACAGCCGGGAAAGCAGGTTTATTTGGAAAAAAAATATATAATCCAGATTGGGGCAGATTAGTGGAAACACATCCTTCTCCATCTGCCTGGGCTGTGTGGTGCCAGGTCCCCATGGGGCTCAGCTGGAAATACACACCAGGGTGGAAAAAACACCCTGAGGAGGATGAGGTGGCCCCACACCAGGAACCTGTGTGGCAGGGGGGACATTAGGCTGTGGGGCTGCAGCCTCTGGGGGTGGCCCGGGGGGTTCAGAACCCTTTTTGGGGGTGTGGGGAGCTACCACCCCTCCATCCCAGCTCCAATCAGTCCCTGGGGATGCTCATGCCTGGGCATCCCTGCCTGGGTACCACTGCCCATCCCTTGCCCATCCTGTGCCTGTCCATCCCTTCCCTACACGTCCCTGTCACCCCAAGGACAGGCTGTTGGCAGGGGGGGCTTGGGGGGTGACACCCCTATTCATGCTGGGGGCTTTGACCTGCCACCCCTGGCCAAGCTGGGTCTCCCTGATCCCTTTCCCTCAGGCCAGGTCCCCAGCCCCACCACGGTGCTGCCACTTCCAGCCTCTTCCTTGCTACCAGGGGGTCATTGCTGTGCTGAGCGGGTCAGTGCTCAGCCCCTGTCGTCCAGTGTTATCCCAATGTAGCTCATCCACAAATAAATAGGTAGGATCCTATTTGATCCCAATTTCTCTGGCCACCTGGTGGCAGGGGCCACCTTTGAGCCGGAGGAAGGACCAACAGAGCAGGGATTGTCCTAAATTTGGAGGTCCCAAAGCTGCCCAGAGTCTTAATTAAACCCTGCTGAGGTTTGAAATCCATTTCTGTACTTTTTTTTCCCTTCCCTGCTACCAGGAACTTGCCCCTGCTTTGTTTGTGCCTCAGTTTCCCCCATGCGTGAGGGTAACAGCTCCCACTCGCTCTTCCTAAAGGAATAAATGAAAAGCAGAGATTTTTTTTTTTCCCCTCCCTCCTTGTTTGGGAGGGTAACGGAGGAGGAGGATGAAGGAACCCGGTGCGACGCTTGTCAGGGTTGAAGCTGCCTGGGGAGAATTAATTCTCTTATTCTATTAGTTCTGTTAATTCTGCTATTAATTCTCTGTGGTTTTTGGAAGAGGGAGGCAGCTGATTTTTCTTCCCTTTCCGAGTCCTGGGGCATCACACCCTGCGCTCAGCGGGGACAAGGGCGATGCTCCAGCCCAGTTATTTCCTTAATAAAAAAATAAATCAAGCAGCAATCTCCACAACAATATTTTTTTGCCTCTTCTGTGCTAAATGAGACCGCGCTCGGCATCTTTTCTACATCTCTGGGTTCCACAGAGCAACTTCCACCACACTCAAGCAAAAAATGCTTCTCAAAATACACCCAGGGACACCCTGGTCCAGCCACAGGAGCATCTAAACCCCCACAAAGAGGTGTGGGGAGGGGGGAGGATGGATGCAGGCAGGTCCCCAACCACCAGCTGCATCCACATCCATCTCCTCGGGTACATCTCACTGTTCTCTCTTGGCTGGATCAGCCCAAGGAAGGGCTGAGGAAATGAGGGAAGAAAAAGTGAATTGGGGAAATGAGGAAGAAAAAGTGGATCTCAAAGGCTATGCTGGACCCGCAAAACACCCCTAACTTATAAGCACCTCATTCACAAAGCATATAAACAGCCCTTTTTGGTGTTTTTTCCCCGTTTTTCAGTAATGAGCCACCACAGAGGGCTCTGAGCATCCTTGGATTAGTATTATGGATTCTGAATTTCCTTTGGCTCACGGGGGTGTCGGGGTAACTCTGTGCTGGGGTTGTGGGGACGTCCACATCCCCCTCAATGAGCCCTTCGTGGAAAGGGAGCTATGCTGGACCCGCAAAACACCCCTAACTTATAAGCACCTCATTCACAAAGCATATAAACAGCCCTTTTTGGTGTTTTTTCCCCGTTTTTCAGTAATGAGCCACCACAGAGGGCTCTGAGCATCCTTGGATTAGTATTATGGATTCTGAATTTCCTTTGGCTCACGGGGGTGTCGGGGTAACTCTGTGCTGGGGTTGTGGGGACGTCCACATCCCCCTCAATGAGCCCTTCGTGGAAAGGGACCCGCACGGAAACACGACGGGTTTCTCTAAACCCAAAAAAACCCATTTGGAGGCTCGGCTCGGTGACAAGTTTTGCTTTTTGCTAATCCAGAGGTTCCCTAATCCTCCTGATTTGTCATGTGTGGGGTATGCGCCGCGCGGAATAATGTTAACGTTAACAAGCCACAAGAATGACGCATCCTACAGCTGGTTGTCCACCCAACCACCCACATCTGATGGCTCCCACGTCGCCTTCATTGGGCTGACAGGGCTTTGCCTCCTTGAAGGGGGTCGACACACTCACCCAGGGGTCCTGGTGCTGGTGAGGATGGGGACCACGATGCTCCAAACCCCCCTCAGTGCCCAAAGGAGGAGCATCCTCATCCCTGGAGACCAAAAGCCACCACATCCCCGGGGACCAAAAGCCACCACGTCCCTCCCTTTGGCCTCAGGGAGAGATGGAACGACCAGTTGCCCATGCTGGCCACCCATTTTGTCAAAGGGCTCTGGGGCCAGGATGTGTTTGGCCACTTTTCCATCTGGCCAGAGGCAGATTTCCTTCCCATTATCTATCGCCAGGCACCGGGCGGATGCCGTGTCCCCATCTCCAACAGCCACCCATCTGCCTGCAGAGCCCTCCCAGGCACTTCTCCTCCTGGCTACCAGATGTTAAATCTCACCAGGACTTCCCAGCACGAAGGGTAAATCCACCCCATCGCCCTTTTTCTTGCTCTGGGGCTGAGTTTTGGCTTCATGGGGGTGGGAAGGTGAAGGAGGGAGGTGGGAAAGCAGATGAGGGCGAGGGGCAGGCTGAGATTTTCCCCCACCTTAACCTGCCCCATAACTCATTGCATGGGGTGGCAATGTGGGGCCAGAGCCCCTAAGTCCTAGAAAGGGGAGAAAAACCTCAGGAAAAGGTCCCTGAAATGCACCATGTTTCTGCTGGAGCGACTTATCTCCCATGAGCTGAGCCCTGGGGGGGATCTCTGGGGCTTCCCTTGGAACTGAGACCCGGCTGTGGTGGGGAACCAGCTCCCCGCTGAGCAGGACCATCCCCAGAGCATCCAGGACACTCATTTTTGGCACTTGGTGCCGTATCCCTACCTGAACACAGCCCAGATGTGGGGCTCTGCACCAGGTCCCCTTTCCCGGCTCAAAGAGGGAAAAAGCAAAGGGGGAAAATGCAAAAGTGGGGAAAAAAATCAAAGAGGGCGAAAATGCAAAGGACCCTGGACCAGGTCGCATCCTTCCCGGGTCCTTCTGGGCACACCTGGGATGGAGATAATTGTGCTTTCCCCCAGCAGAGCTTTCTGCCCGGCAGCCAAAGAGACGCACCCGCAGGCTCAGGGAGCATAAATCCCACAAAATTCTCATTTATGAACCCAAGAAGCCAGGTTCCTGCTGCTCCCCCGCATCCAGGATCCCAAAACGCCCGGCAAACACCAGAGTAGGGGGGGGGAGAGTGAGGATGCAGCCCCCATCCTCACCCCTGCCTTTCTCCCATCAGCATCCCAGGAGAAAGGCCAACACAGATTGGATCAAAACCCACATTTTTCAGCCCGGCACCAAAATCCAGCATTTTAAGAGGCCACGTTGCAAAACTACAGCTTTGTTTAGGGAAATGCTATGAGTGGCCACCCCCGCGCTGCCTCTCCCCGCGTCTGTAACTGCTCATGAATTAGGTACCAAACCACCCAGGAGACAAAAAAAACCCACCAAACCAACCTGCTTCAGAAACACCATTCCCTGGATAATTTCCCCCAGTCCCCGCCTCGCTGCCGGGAAAGGATCAGGACGGGCAGAGCTGGAGCTCCTGGAGAGGAGCAAAACCTCTCAGCATCCCCAGCCACCCAACCAGCCCAGGAGAAGAAGTTTCTAAGCATGGAAAAAACTACAGAGGAGCCCACGGATGCTTTTTCTCCAGCAAACCAACCGCAAGAAGACCACCTCAACCAAGGGGGGATATTGGGAAATCATGTCAGGAAGCTTTATAGAAAATAAGACGATAGCTGGAGTGGATGCAGCTTTCAATATATTTTTGTTCTAGGATATAAGTTAACAGGCACGGTTTTAAAGCAAACACGGGCGGGTGGAACTAGGTCGAGAGCTCCTTGGCTTCCCTCGTTTTTAATTACAAAGTGCTGAGGCAGCCTAGTCTAGGGTATATCTGAGAGTCAGAAAAAAAAACAAAAAAGGGGCTGCCCCCCCCCTGCACGCCCCGGGGAACATGCACGTTTCTTACACAGCTGCGTCGCTCTGTGCCTGGAAAGAGCTGGAAATGTCATCGAATGAAAATAAAAATGGATAAAAGGGGGGCTCAGGAAAGGGTGGGTGGGGGTGGGGGGAGCGGCCGGACGGTGTGTTTTCCTCCATGTTTGGAGGAAAAATTAAAAAAAAAGAAAAAAAAGGAAACTGAGTAAAGTTTCTGTGCATCTGTGAAATAGAAATCTAATAGGAAAGAGAGCTGTACATGGTCAAAGTCAAGTCCTGGCTCCGGGAGCATCCAGGAGGACAGTTTTTGGGTATTGCCCGCTGCTTCCCGGGATGCGCCGAGCCAACACTCACGTGCGTGGGGGTCCTGAGCCCCCGACCCCCCGGCAGCGTGGCATCCCGCAGTCCCCCGACGAAACCCACCGCTGGAGAACGGAGACAGGGGAGGAAGCAGCTCATCATCCTCCCGGGAGCCCCGGGGCTTCTCGTGCCGGCATCCCCTGGGACTGATTCGGGATGCGCTTCCCCACGGATGGGGGGAAGGGATCCAGCCCGGTCCCCTGCAGGAATCAACGCTATGGGGCAGGGCGTGGGGAGGAAAAGCTGGTCCAGAACCCTCTGGAGAGGGTCCTCCCCACTCCCACGCACCCCAACACCCATCCCCAAGGCCGGCTTGTCCTCAGAAACTAATTTTTGGTGGAGTCATGGCAAGAAGATGGGGATGGGGATGGGGCAAAGTGGATGCCGGGAGCGGAGGTGTTGAGGGGCAGGGATGAGGAAGGGATGGGAGGAGATGCCGAAGGTGCCATCAGAGCCCGGGGGTCCCGACGGCGCTGGTACGTCGGGGGTCGGCGTCCTGCTCGTAGCGGTAGTGGTAGCCCTCCATCTGGTCACGACAAGCCTCCCGGAGGTTGTGGAGCCAACGCTTGATGCCGCGGCGGTTCAGGTAGAGCACCATGAGGAAGACGATGCCGATGAGGGCCAAGACGATGCCGAAGAAGACGTAAGAGGCCGTCTCCAACCTACCGGGCTCGCCGCCTTCGTCGGCCGCGCACGCCAACCCCTCGGGCCGTAGGCGCAGGAGAGCGGTCCCCTGTAACGGAGGTGGCCCGGCGCAACGTAGGCTACGGGCATCGGGCACCCGAGGGGTGGTGGCACGTAGCCAGGCCAGGAAAGGGCGCAGGGCGCAGTCGCAACCCAAGGGGTTGGCCCCCAAAGTGAGCCTCAAGCCCCTCAAGCCGGGGGCTTCCAGGCTGCGCAGCTCGGCGGCCGTCAACCGCTGCAGAGAGTTGTTCCTCAAGTCTAGCTCCTCCAAGCCGGCCGGCAAGAGGGTGGCTGGTAGCCCCCGTAGCCCGTTGCCAGCCAGTTCCAAGCGTTGCAGGCTGAGGTTGCGCAGGGCCACGGCCAGCTGTTCCTCCAACGGGGCGGCCAGCAGCGCCTGGTTGAGCTGCAGCGTGCGCAGCATGGGGACGCCGGCGAAAGCCCCCGGGGCCACCCAAAGCAAAGGGTTGTGGCTGAGGTCGAGGGTGCGGAGGGCGGGCAAGCCTTGCAGGGCCATGTCCTCCACGGCTTGGATGTTGTCGTGGGGCAGGCGGAGGAGGCGGAGGTCGGGCAGCGGGCGGCGGGCGGCGAAGGCGGCGGGATGCAGGACGCTGAGGTTGCTGCCGGTGATGCTGAGGTTGTGGACGGTGACCGGTAGCTCCTTGGGAGGTTCCTCCAACCTCTCATACCGGCACTGCACCAGCTCCGGGGTGGCCACGCAGTAACAGGCGGAAGGGCAAACCCCGGGGGGGGCGACGGCGGGGGGTAAGGTCAAGGGGAGCAAGGCGAGCCCTAGCCAGGGCAACCAGAGCCCGCCGCCACTTGCCCGCTCCTGCCTGCGGGCCATGCTCGCTGCCGGGGCATGCAGGGGA